CCGATTTCGTAAAACTAATTCTCATTTCTTTACATTTGCGCTCATTCAGCACGAACTTTTCGGTTTTGGACTTGCGTACGAACTCATCTACGGTTGATTGGATATGACTTACTTCGTCTTTTTTAACAGTTTCGGAGATGTTTGAGTCGTCCACATATTTCCACATCACATCATTAGAGACATTTAAATCGTTAATCATGACTAAAAACAGCCATGGGCCCAATTTTGTTCCTTGCGGTACACCGGCGGGACCGAGCGCCACTCCAAAACACAATCTTGGCAGAGTTTAACTCTTTGTTTGCGGTTCAACAAGAAATCTATTATCCAATTGACAACATTATTTGGAATTTCGTACGACACTAGTTTCTGAATTAAAATATCATGATCGATCAGATCGAAGGCCTTTTTGAAGTCGAACAATACGATCCTCACTGTTGCACTATTACCATCGGTGTCACAGTTCCATTTATGTAGCATGCTAATAAGAGCATAGGTGGTATTCAAGCCAGGTAATGTACCGAACTGTTGTGGGTCAACTTTTTTCAATACAGCTGGTTTTACAAAACATTCAACTACGTATTCCTCAGCGACCTTAGAGAGTACTGGAGTCAAAGAGATTGGTCTTAGATCTTTATTTACGTCATTGACAGGTTTTTGCTTGGGTATTGGTACTATATCGGCTTCCTTCCATGAAGGAGGTAAGCGAGACTCCAAGAATGAACAGTTAATAATCGACATTACTGGTCGTGCAAAAATATCGGCGTTCTCTTTTAAAAGCCAGCAGGGAATACCATCTGGCCCAGTTGCTTTGGTTGGATTTAGTGCTAACAGTTTCTGAAAAACTGATTGCTCTGTGACGGTAAATGGGGGTTCTTTATCTGTGGCAAGACGGACGTTGGGAGATAATGGAGAAAAAGTCACTCATTGAGGCAAGGAATGCGTTGTTAATAACATTGGCAATATTAAGTGGAGTCGGTTCGACTGGGTCACAAACAACATGTTGTAGAATTGAAGTTGTACTGTCACTTGACACTGCAGACATCCCACTAAGTTTCTTAATTTCCTTCCACCAACCGGAAGGATCACATTCTTTCAATTGTTTAACTCTTGAATCGTAATATTTTGCACGGCTTGACTATTTAAGTTCCATGTTTAAGATATAGAAAACACACGAATATTCTCATTTCATGGGAATATCCTGAGTCTGCAATCACGGCTTCAATTTTTGAATTGTAGAATTAGATGCACTATCTAGTGTATATAAGATATCTATGCTCTTAACTTATTTCCACCTTTCTCCAAGAAAGATACATATAGTACATTATTCGCTAGACCGCGAGCAGTCCCTCGGGAGAAAGGAGGGACTGCCGATAACACATCAAGAAACGAAATACGCGTTGCCCACACAACGCAAAATTCCCATTGGTCGAAATCGATGTGCCTGTCAATCAAATCCGATATGTAGTAATTATGCTAAAATATACTTTCCAGACTGAATGTTGATTTTATAAATAAACATGACATTAACGGTTCCTATTGGTTAGATTTCATTAGATAAAAGTAATGTTTATGCAAAGGCAGAGCCAACTTGACAAGAGCGAAAAGTGGGCGTATTTCGTTCCTTGATGTGTTGTCGGCAGTCCCTCCTTGCCATCTGATATAAGTGAAGGTAAGCTATGGATTTAAAAAAACTTATTGACATGGAAATCATCAACAACTATTTAATACTAATTGTACATACTTCTAGGTCCAGTAGGAGAACACCTGTCTCCAACCAACACCCATGTGACGTTGCCGTCTGGTATAAGTGAAGGTAAGCTATGGATTTAAAAAAACTTATTGACATGGAAATCATCAACAACTATTTAATACTAATTGTACATACTTCTAGGTCCAGTAGGAGAACACCTGTCTCCAACCAACACCCATGTGACGTTGCCGTCTGGTATAAGTGAAGGTAAGCTATGGATTTAAAAAACTTATTGACATGGAAATCATCAACAACTATTTAATACTAATTGTACATACTTCTAGGTCCAGTAGGAGAACACCTGTCTCCAACCAACACCCATGTGACGTTGCCGTCTGGTATAAGTGAAGGTAAGCTATGGATTTAAAAAACTTATTGACATGGAAATCATCAACAACTATTTATTACTAACGATACATACTTGCTGTAGGTCCAGTAGGGGAACAACCGTCTCCAAGCAACACCCATGTGACGTTGGCATCTGGTATAAGTGAAGGTAATGTCAGTATGACAAAAGTATTCAATCAATTGTAAAGATATTGTAAAACATATTTATAATATAGCGTTTGTAAATTCTGAACGCTGATTGGCTACGAGCCATGCTGACATAACTCTTTTTCAACACGAAACATTTCCCGCCGTTCCTTAGTTAAATTCAAAAGCGTATTCCCCAAATTTGTGCTATATTATATAAAAAAATATAAAACCTGTTTCCGTTTTGATATACAGTTATATCAGCACTCGTGGAAATTGGGAAAACTCGAAATTGTGTGAAAGCACTCCGCCCTCCAGGCGTCGAGTTTCCACACAATTTCTCGTTTTTCCAATTTCCACTCGTGTTGATATAACTGTATACCAACACGGAAAATGTTTATATTTGTTAAATGTCAACGGCATATTTAATAAAATATCACAAACGTCTCTTACCAATCATTCAAAAATTATTTTAGAACAATTATCAAGCCAATTTACCACCTAAGAGGGAAGGCATACAAGATGATTTCAAAGCTCTTCTGCCTACCATCAAAGTCAAGCTTGCTGAAATGGGTATCAAAATTACCAAACACCCTGGTTTTACAAAATCTGTCCTCGATGCCATTGCAGATACAAAATGAATACCACAGGACGACTTTGCATCATATCATTCCTTTGACGAAATATCTCTCACGTCAATTGTATTCTATCAATCCAACACCGATGTGCTGATTGGCCTTGGAAGACTATGGAGATGGCAGCAAACCAACTGTCTGGCACCATCAGCAATTGTCTTTATGGCACGGGTATTGGTGGAGAACTGGAAGCAACTTCTGACATATTACCTGGTAAATGAATCCCGTGGTAGTGAGAAAGTGAAAGAAAAATTAGAGGATATCATTAATAAAGTTGAACCATAGGACTGGAGGTTGTGGCGGTTGTTCGAAACAACCTTATTAATTATGACTACCATTGTGAGGAAAAAGTGGCAGCATCATGGAGACATCAAAGCCCTATTAGGTACAACATAGATTCCAAGAATCATATCCGGTGTTGTCCAAAATTAACGAATAAGCATATTTTCCCAAACGGATTTCAGATGATGAAGGTAAAATATGCCGCACAAGTTTTAAGCAACACAGTTTCAGCAGCAGTGTTGATGGCAATAAACGGTGGTCTTCCTCCAGACGCAACAGAGAAAGCTGAAATTAGATCCACGTTTGATGAAATTTTTGACTTTCTGAACAGCTCATCGTTCAAAAGTTACAAAATACACAATCGACCCATAACTTCAGAGTCAAAGCACCCTGGATTGATGAAAGAATGTGTTCATTTTTCAGAAAAATTACCGTTAAAGATCCAGCAACTGATGAAGATGTTACATCCACTTTGAAGTGCTGAAAAGCCCTAGAAATGACAATGAATGGGACAATCATTTTGTGGAAGTCAGTTCAGTCTTCAATCAGATTCTTGTGTACTCGACTGCTCAACCATGATCCCTCGGAAAACGTTTTGATTCTATTAGACGATAAGGTGGCAATTGTGCCAATCCAGCACCAATTCAATTCACAAGAGCTTTTAGGAAACTTTTTTTGATAACCTTTTATCCCTTTCAAATGGAAATTGTACAGCAGACCTGGATACCATCCTCATTAGCTATACACCTTCAGTAGAGAAGAATGAAGAAGTAGAAGAACCTCCAAATATTGAAGAAAGCAACACAGCAGAATAAATTAATATTGATGAATCTAACTACCAACTGCCACAGGTTGAAAAAAACTTGATGAGTACCAATGCTTTGACATATGTTGGTTGATTACATTACATTATTCAGCCCACTCCCCATTGGGGCTTTTCAGTGACCGATTACATCATGTATTACGGTTACTTATGTTACTTACTTAGCCTAAACGCGTAAAAATTATGAGCCTGCTGTTTAACAGGATTGAACAACGTTGCGCGGCCCACATTTTTCACACTTGCCAACAATATTGTTGAGCCTGAATCGGGTGTAACAATATTGTTCAATATTGTTGACAACTGTGAACAATGTGGGCCGCACAACATTGTTCAATCCTGTTTTCATCAATATTGCAACAACCTGATCGTTTTTAGCTGTCTAGTCTAGGTGGATACCTTCTGAAAAACTGTCTACAGCATCATCAATGCAAATCCTGCTCCAAAGCTCTTCTCAGTGCCGTAGCAAGCTCGATAATTGGGGCTCATATTCATATATTCGTGTTCACAGACCATAAAAACAATCGATTTCAAAAGAAATTAATAACGCAGAACACGAATATGAGCCCCAATTATCGAGCTTGCTAAGGCACTGTTTCTGCAGAATCAACTTGATAATCCAGATCAGTTATTTTGCCATTTTAATGCTCACGATGAAACGAAAGGTCCATTTGGCTCACTCATGGTTCATTTGTACAATGTGTTACTAACATTAAAGAAACAATTGTCAAATATTTCACAGATTCAATGACAATGAGTGGTGTTGGTAGGCACACTGTTAATGCTCTGCCTAATTTATTGTTCCACAATGTGCTGAATTTTCCTAGTCATAACTTGGTAAAAATATTTGTCAGAATGAGGATTTCATACCGCATCAAATTCAAGAACAGAGAACTGGCTCAAAGAAAAGGGGCTAAAAAGAACAGAAAGTACTTCAGAGTTACACACATTTAAAATTAAGTGCATAGTTATACAGGGTGTATAAAAAACGCACCCTCGGAATTTCCCAAGAAATCCACTTTGCAATTCCTAAGCATAAAAGATTTTAGGCCCCTGGGAATTGAAGTCGAATTGCTAATAGATCATATATTACTGTTGTTGTACTGTAGTTGTAAAATAAAAACTTATTAAGTGTCATTAAAGGGGCAGTATGATCAAAATTTTTATTCTCTTAAACCAAAGCTTAAACGAAAATGCTTGTAAAACTGTATATTAACTTGTTTTAAAGATTTTTGTTCCCATGCTTAGTTCTTGAGATACCGTAAACCTCCGACTATAAGCCCTGGGCTTATATACTTTCGTAAGCGATTTTTGATGGACTTATACAAGGGGGGGGGGCTTATATACGGGTGGGCTTACACATGGACGATCTTTTGTGTTAGTAATAAACAAGTCAGACATAAACAAGTCAGTCATAAACAGGGCAATAAACGTGTATTAAGCAGCGATTACTGGGCTTATATTAAGGTTACAGGACACCCTTTTTAGCGTTTTGGGGAAAATCGCTACTGCGCGCTCAAAATCCGTCCGATTGTCATCAAATTTTCACCAAATGTTAGCCAGTGCATGCAAAGTATGACAAAGTTGTAAAATTGACAAATAATAAAATAATGTAAGAATTCAGGAAAATCTTAAGTCGCGGTACCTTTATGCTTTTAGTTATGTTCCTGCTGGTTTTAAGATATATTTATGAAAATATCATTTTTATACAGTAAAATAGTTGTTCTAAAAAATTGTGTTCGGAAATGTTTGTTTATTTCGTCATTCCGCTGATCTGGCGATTTCTTTGACGACTGCAATATATTTCTGAATCGTTTGTGTGAATTGCTCCTTATTATTAAAATATCCAAAATTAGAACAAAGCCGAACACGATTTTGAAACTGACGTCTTTAGCTATGTCCTGTGAAAATTTGAGAAAAATTCGTTAAAACCCGCAGGAGCACAACTCGTTTAAAAATCAGTAATTGCCGTAAAATTCTTCGGGAGAAAATTGAATTTGAACATTACATTTTCAATGTTTTTCTTATTGCAAGCGAAATGTATTTTATTAAATAACTCGAGTTTTCAACATTTTCCGTCCAAACTTGGTCAGATAGTAGAACTAGTCTAATGCTTTCATGGAAACCAATAAAAAAATTTTAGGCAAAATTAACACTCAAAGGTGTTCTGTAACCTTAATTGGGGGACTTATATTCGGGGGCTTATATTCGGGTGGGCTTATGTTCGGGGGGGGGGCTTGTATTTGGAATGATGTGAGCGTTAATACATGTGGTGGGCTTATACACGGGGGGCTTATATTCGGAGGTTACTACTCAATTACACACATAATGAGATATCAGTAATTGTTGTGTATCTTTGCTATTTTTGATCGATTTGTTAAAAACACAGTATGCTTAATGATGCAGGTTAAATTAACAAACGCGCCGCATCTTTCGAAATATTTTGATAAAAATAGCAAAGATACACAACAATTACTGATATCTCATTATATATGTAATTGAGTATTATTTTATTATTAGTTTTATTTACCCACAAATAATATTTACAAGTTGAATATTTAAGAATATATAAACGGGCTAGAGACCTCTGGAAATCCTGTTGGACTTTTAAGACGAGGCCCCTATAGTTTTAGTGTTCAGTAATATAAAAATAGATTATGTACATAAGGACAATTTGCAGTGAAAAACACAAACTATTTACAAACAAATATGGAAAATGTTTAAGGAATATTTAGTACATTACAGAAAACTGTCATTAGTCTCATTAATATTCCTGAAATATTTACATCAACTAGACATCAAGTAATAGGATTTTGCAGTTTTCTTAAAAGAAAAATATGATTTAATATTTTTAATTTCTTCGTCAAGAAATTTTTAATTTCTTCATCAATTCCATATAGAAACTCCTTTGTTAAATACAGTGTATTTGCGATAGTTTGTTCTCTTATGAGTAGATGACGTCACATGGTTACAAACAAAATGAAATATCTCAAGAACTAAGCATGGGAACACAAATCTTCAAAACAAGTTATTATACAGTTTTAAGAGCAATATCGTTTAAGAAAATTTCTCATCATCTTTGCACTCGTGGAAGAGTTTCGCTGCATTGGTTCCACCACCATAGAGAGCATGACGAGGTTCCAAAGGAACCACCACATCGTAATAGTCGAAGTATTGTTTCATGTCTTCATCACGTTCCAATTCTTTCCTCATGTCACATTCCCACATATCAATGACATGGAGAACATGATCTAGGTATTGAGTCTTCTCCATGGTGGCTTGAAGGAGATCATGCATGGTTTTTTCGCTGACCTTATTGATGGTGTCCCTTGCATAACAATTAAAACAACCTGTAAAAAATATCGTTTATTTAAGGAAGGCGTTTATGGGGGAAACTTACCGTGCCAGACAACCTGTAAAAAGTCGTTCATTAGGGAAATTTACCATGCCAGAAACAGCCATGGAATTCATACGCCGTATTGGTCTCCTCATCGTATCCATGCAGGGGAATATTTGCCAACACTCTTCTCTCCAACAGTTCGTTTATGTTGAATGTAGATGTCATTCTTCTCGGCAGTGTAAGATAGCCATTTCAAGGCGACGTTGGACTGTTTGATTCTTGGATGATAACCGTGAGGAAGAATGACAGCAATAGTGTTCTCTTTGAGGAAAAACGAGATTGCACGCCGACGCAATGGTTAAGCATTTCTCGAACGGATCGATATCGATGACGTCATGGAACAACTCGTGAAATACACGCTTCTGGAAAGTACGTCACTTTGGCTATAGAGCCTCGTTTTCGTGATGAGACGCGGCCTTTAACTGATGTCAGATACACGAGCCAAAGTGACGTACTTTCCGGAAGCGTGTATTCAAGGCAACAGCGTCGGAGAATATCCACATCCGATGGACAGTAACTGAAGATTTCTTGTTGGAAATTGAAGACGTAATTGCAACCTCGTTCCCAGGCTCTTTTCTCTGTGCTGGAGAAAATACCCTGGCTGGGGCTGGTCACATGCCACCTAAATTCTGGGTATAATTTTTGTGGGAGGGGTAGTAGAGGAGTTTGTTTGTCGCGTTTGGAAAATTGCAACTTTATAGTTTATGCGTTACAGTTTCTGGTGATAAAAATGCACTTTGCAACAAGAAATCGTGAAAGGAACTGTTCTAAATTCGTACTCATCATGACAAGACGTCCTGCTATACTGAATGTCATCAATAATAAGTGTTGCGGTACATTTCAATTAAACGAGAAGTTGGATAATATTTCACTTCCAATGAAAGGACTATACACGCACCTGGCTTGCGAAGTTGAGCACGCATGGCCGTAGAAACATACAGGGTGTATAAAAAAAAGGAAATCGAACTTCAGCGCGCTATTATACGTGAATTACTCGGCGTATGAACAATTGGTTTTCATATTCGGAAAGATCAGGCTTTTAGCTATTGAATGACATGCTTTTCATGCCAAGTGGAGAAAAAATAAGCATGTACGAGGCCGATTAAAAATGTTAATCAAAATCGCATATTTTCACCTCTGTGCCTAATTAAAACAATGCATAACAAAAGAAAAAGCAATTAATCACGAACGTGTCGTAGCTTAACTAAGATTTATTCCTACTTAATAATAATTATGAATATGTGTGCAGTTTAATGAAGTGAAATTCATCAACTTAAGTCCTAAAGGGGGTTCATTTTCAATGGTTTTAGACCCAACTCTCAACGGTGAAAATATGCGATTCTGACTAACATTTTTTATCGGATTCGTATTTGCTTATTTTTTATCCATTTGGCATGAAGAAGATATCATTCAACAGCTAAAAGCATGATCTTTCCGAATGAGAAAAAATCTCGTTCATACGCAGAGTAATTCAGATACAATAGCGCGCTAAAGTTCGATTACCTTTTTTTTGATACACCCTGTACATGTCTTCTACATCGACTGTCGACTGATCGATCAAACGAACGATATGGTTGTCTATAATTGAGGTGCATCCTGCCCGATATTCAAAACAAAAATCCTTTGTTTTCCCAAACATCGCCAACTGGGTGTAAACAATGCTATCCTAACTGACGCTATCCTGACTTACATTGCTCAAACTCAACGATGAAGAATGATTATGTCGAAGAAAAAAACTATAGCTATCTGTTATCACACGAACGCTAAGTATACTCCTCCGTGCGTGCGGTACAACTTGAATATTTGGGACGAAACATGCGACCAGACACTGGTATTATACTTTATAGTAAATTATTTCATATTTCATGTATGAGAGTATTTTACAGCAGGTACATTAAAAATCGTTTAAAGACCTTTCATTGGCATTGCCATTGCCCCATTCATTGGGCTTTATTTGAAGAATAATCCAGCTTAAAATCCAGTTTCTTTCGACTTGTATCATGACGCTGTAGGTCATCAAGACAATATTTATATATAATCAACCGTTATAGTCGACGCCAGCCAGAAAGGCGCCAAGTATCTTACCTATGTTGACAAAAGAGTTAGCTTACGGTAGCAATGAGCAATTCTTCCACACGGACTCGTCTGTGGTTATAGGATACGTTTACATATCGATGCTCGAAGATTTCACACGTACGTCGGGAATCGCGTACAACTTATACGTGACTTATCAAAACCAAACCAATGGTATCATGTTGCCGGTAGCAAAAACCCTGCGGATAAGGCCTCCCGTGGCCTCACCCCGAAAGAGCTAGTAGCAGACAAAGAGTGGTTAATCGGCCCACATTTTCTGTGGGACGAGGAATCTATTCTTTCGAATCCAGAATCCGTTGGAAAATTGCAACCTGGAGATATTGAGGTTAAAAAAAGAGAGGACATCCGTATTGATCAGCGATGTAAGAATCAAAGAACGTCCACCAAAAATTCTAGAACTCGATCGCTTCAAGAATTCTTCCTCACTACAGGGTCTCAAAAAGGGTATCTCTCGCATTCAGAGAGTCGTAAAGAAGAAAGATTGAAAGATGAAATGCAACGGACTTTCACATTTCCGTAGAACTAGGAGATTTACGTCGCGCGGAAGTTATGATTTTGAGATCCTTTCAGTGCCATTATTTCGGTGACGAAATGAAAATTTTACGAGATATGCAACACGACGACGACCAACATGACGAGCGGAAGAGAATACGATCCAGAAACCAGAGGATTAAAACCACGAGTTCACTGTACAAGCTAGACCCATTTCTCGACGGCGAAGGTCTGCTCAGAGTCGGTGGCCGATTACGTAAAGCTACAATGTCATTCGAAGAGAAGCATCCAGTAATCATTTCTAAGAACAGTCACATTACAACACAACACAACACAACACAACACAACACAACACAACACAACACAACACAACACAACACAACACAACACAACACATCACAACACAACACAACACAACACAACACAACACAACACAACCGACAACACAACACTTCTCATACGACATTACCATTGTAGAGTTCAACGACATCAAGGACGCGGATCGAATGACTCACAACGCCATCAGACAAGTCAGATATTGGATTATAACTGGCCGTTCGGCTGTCTTCAACTTTATCGCCACCTGTGTCGACTGTCGAAAGCTTCGAGGAGCCGCCGGCGTACAAAAGATGTCAGACCTTCCAAAGGAACGCATAAACCCAGTCACTCCTTTCACTTACACAGAAATGGACGTATTTGGACCTTGCTTATTAAAGAAGGTCGGAAAGAACTCAAACGTTGGGGACTGATTTTTACCTGTCTAGTGTCATGTGCCATCCATCTCGAAACCTTGAATACAATAGAAACGGACTCATTTAATTTATCAATGCACTACGAAGGTTTATCAATCGTAGAGGCAAAGTACGGCAACTACGGTCTGATCAAGGCACAAACTTTATGGGAGCAAAGACCGAGTTTAACAAAGCATTAGGAGAGCTCGATAACGAGGTGATCAAGAATTTCCTAAATTTCATGTTGTAAACATCTTGCCCAAAAAAGCAAAGGAGGATATTTTATAATTTTTGATCATTGGTTATAATATAGATATGTACTAATTTAGTAAATATTTTGTTTTTGTTTTTATATAAATTATTATATTGCCCCTTTAGGTAATGAGTGACATGAAAACAAAGTGTCACTGCTTTACAAATAAAAATTCTCATTGAAAAAACTAATGATATATATAGGTATGCAAGTTCATTTAAACTAAATTTGGTCAATCATATATCACTAATGTTTGGTTGAAAAGACCAAATATTTTTTCATGCAACTGTTTCTGAGATATTGCCATTTTGGTGAAAGCTCTTGAATTCAATCACGAATTCGCCATATTGCTTGCCGCTTAGGGGGTAGAAACATTGCAACAGCTTGCCGCTTATTGAGTTCAAAAATAGAATAACCTTGTCATGTACAGCACCTGGATTTTAATTTTATACTCAAAGGATATTTTTAAATTATTATAAATACATTTGCAATATAG